AATAACCACGCGAAATTCAGCAAAAATGCGTAAGGTTTTTTTCCACCACGAATTATCCCAGCACCCCAACAGGACTTAAAAACAAAAACCCCCCCCCCCACCCCCAACCCCCCCCCCCCCCCCCCCCCCCGAGCAAGATCCTACTTGTTTACATATCCAGTTGCCACAATTTCACATGAAAACCCCAAAGATGCATATACGTCCAGACCGGAAAACAACAATTGTAGAATTCTTCGTTTATCAGTCCGAGACTGACAACATACGAATAGGGGTTCTTGCTGCCATTGCCTGTCTACGTACGTCATTGCCTTAGTCATCGTGTAGGTCAAGAGAGACAGGGGGTGTGGGGGAAAAAGGTATAACCTTGCGGGGAGAGCCACAGTTTGTAGACGCCGAGATATTCAACATTGCGGGATCCGACCCCCTTTGCGCATCTCAGTGCAGTCGATGGCGCGCGACTTGTCACCAGAGCGAGCCGCATTAGCGTGTACACCGCCCACTGCGCCGTCGGGTGCTAGACTTGAAGCCATGAAGTTGCGCTTCTCTTGCGACGCTTGTGGAACCGCCAAGGTCAAATGCGATCGTGCTCAGCCCGTGTGCAGTCGCTGCACTGCGCTCGGCTTGGACTGCGTGTATGGACCATCCCGCAAGTTTGGCAAGCCACCGCGGAAGAGACCAGGCGCCACCCTTGACACCGCAACCGAGAAGCGCATATGCACTTCAAGGATATCACAGAGTCGCCCGCATCACACAGCCACGGGCTTGGATGAACTCCCAAGCATCAATGAAGCCGCCCAAACTAGTTTCTCGTACTTGGGTGCCGATGTCCTCCCACTGTCATCCGGCATCGACGCCACATTGAGCACCGCCAATGAGCATGACCCGCCTGCCTCTTGCTTCTTCCCCCTCGTGCCCCTCGAGCAGTGGCTTCAACTCGACGGCTTGGATGGTGGTTTTGGTATTCCGTCTGCTTCCGCAGAAAATTCCGTCGGCACTGCAGAGAGGAGCTCTGGCAACCGCGAGTCTCACAGCTGCCCTCGGGAGTCGTACGAGATCTTCCGCGACTTGATCTGCCCCAGCGATTCCCTTCACGCACCGGATTCGAATTCTGTTACCGTCTCGGCACGACTGGACCTGGTGCTTCACATGAACAGAAGCGCCATTGACCGTCTCTGCCAGATCCTCAAATGCCCCTGTGCCAAGTCTGGCCATCGGGCCATGGTTCACGCCTCCATTGTTTCCCGCATCCTGATCTGGTATCAGCAGGCGGCGGGGTGGACCGGCAGCAGCTCCGGCGGTCCTCGGGCGGCCACATTGGCAGACTCCTCAGCAACCGCATCCCGGGGTGCGTCCCAGGGTGTGTCCCCATCCATATCCCCGCCGCCACCGCCGCCGCCATCTGGGTCAGCCGCTGACCCCGGCACAACAAGTCCGCCGGCCTCGCTTGTCCAAGCCACCGGGTTTGCCGTCGAGCATGTACCTATTTTTATGGGCACCTTCAGTATCGAAGACCAGAATGTACAGGCCGCCCTGAGGAATCAGTTGGTCTTGAGCGAGCTCAAAAAGGCAGCCGCTGTGATTGACATGTTCGTCTTGCCGGAATCGGCAGATTCCTCTGCCAGTGGCGTGGCTAGTCTTTACTCGTATCTGGGAGCATGGCTCCGAAGTGAACATGCTAGAACAGTTAAAATACTAAGGTCCAGACTCAATGAACTAAACGAGAATCTGGCGTGTTGAGCTACGTCGAAACTAGCCTTGGATGGTTGTACGTTGATGTCCAAACTAGTCTACGGCCTGTTCGTCTAACCATCACATTTCACCGCTCAAGTAGCACCGAAGACGCAGAAACAGGAGTTGGACCTCCGATATTTGTTTGCACTGTACCTAGAGCGGAGGAGTTGGCACAGCACATGCAACACCTCCTCAAATGGGTCTCTGCCATCTCTCCCTTGACGATTAGATGGGATTCCCTATCTTTGGAGTGCTACTCATGTTGGTCTCCCTCCTAAGGATCTGGTTCTCGGAACAGATAGGAATACCTTCAAAGCTTCTTCTGTCGTGGCGGCGGCTATCCTGCATCGTTAGTCGGATAGTAACCCTCAGCAAGGGGGAAATGGCAACTTCAAATATCTTTCCCAAATGGTCTAGGAGAGGCTAGGCAACATAGCGAGAGGGGCTTATGCTTTCGAGCACACGTGTCAGGATATATGCCATTGAACCAACTCCACTACTTTTCGATTGGCATCCTTGTACTCGAGTAGATAACACAAAGTTCAGTGAAAGCGTACATCCCCAACACCTCTAACGTTTCTGCTCTTAACAGCCCCAAACATTTGCACTGAAATATATTCCATCATGTGGTCTGGTAAGATGAAGTCGTCGTGCCAAAGCTCCCGTCAAAGTTGCTGTAGCGGTAGGTAACTACCCCCGTGTCGAAGTTAAAGGAGGCGCTATAGCCGGCACGGCAGCTCAACTCAACGAAGTAATTGTCAGCGCATATAAGTCCAACGTATTTGTTGGTAAGCTGGCATGTTTGTCCCCCGTTGTCGGTGAGAGCGGCGTTGAACATCCCGTTGTCTACCGGCGGAGTCAGCATCATTCCCAAGGAGGTTGGAACTTTGTATAAAAGAGACTGACTATAGTTGAGATTGCAGGAGTATTGAACGCAGGCCAGGGCTGGCGAGGCCTAGGCGAGGGCAAGGACGGCAAGCTTGGGGAACTTGGAGAGAATCATCGTGAACGACAACGGTGGTGCTAGGTTGGAAGATGCTAGAGAAAGTGACTGGGAAGGAAAATGAAAGGAGATGCAGTGTTCATGTCAAGGACATTGTATTTCTCACGTAAGCCCTAAGGCAGCAAGATTGTCAATCACAAAATCGTACAACGGAAACGCAGCCGAGAGCACAACGGAACCACATCACCAGCGCTATTACTGGAGAGGGGCTCGACTCGAGTGCTGCCTGGAGATATGGGCCTTTTAGAGGCAGGTATTTTAAACCAACTTCGTCTCAATCTACAGTTTGCACAGCCTGCCTGCTTGCTGAATGGCACCTCGCTACTCCAATTCGGCCACATGAATGGACAGTCCTATAATTAGGCAGGCGGGGACAGATCCTTCGGGAGATCCTCTTAGACAGACTCCACTTTTGTTCCCATGATCGACATCCCGGCCAAGCTCGAGTCCTGCCAGACATCTGAGTCGTGAAGAGAGAGCAGAAATAACCTTGGCTGATCATTTCCGGCGAGCACCGCACAGGTCCCTGGCCGATGAGAGGACCCTGATGGGAACACTGCCATGGAGCTGCTTCGTGGCCCGCTCCCAACACTGCTCAGCAATCTCAGGTCGAAAGCCGAGGTACAAGCACTAGCTGAACCGTGCCTGCCCCTAATTATTTATGGCTACCGACACCATTCTCCTTCCTTTGTCAGCTTCGTCGACCCCTGTCAAGCCCACAACACTTACCGCCCCGGACAAGGTGCCTGGCACTATCAGTATTAACCACACAACGCCCATATCCCTCCCAAGTGCACGACCACAACACAGCACGCCGGCTCGGGCGGCCTTAGATGCAGAGGAACAAGGGCACATCGCAGCCAGTAGAAGATGGATGGATGTCTCCAAGTCAAGCCAGCAGGGTTGTGAAGAAGCAAAGCAGTCGAAACGGTTGGGTGACAAGAGTTTGCCACAGTTTAATCCTACGTCCGGGACCTTCATGCAAACATATATTGAGAACGGAATCCTTCGCAAGTAATAGCATGTGTATGGATGGGTGTGTAATCTCGTGGTTAAATTGCTGCGTCGGTGACAGTGACAGTCTCACTGCCATAAAACGCAATTAAGGCACCCCTTAACACAATCTCTTTATACCGTAGCAGGTTGCACTGTGCCTATTTGTGGAGTGTGGTGGCACAGCCTCCTGCGCCTTCTCTATCCAAATTTTTAGAAACCCCTCATTCATCGCAAGCTAGACAGACAAGCTTGATTCCGGGTTCCAGCCATGGCAAATGAGACTCTAGATCCCGAGGCCGAATACGGCCGGCTTGCATTTGACGCCTTCGCGTTGGTCAGCTCCGCCGCCGCAGTTTCGGTTTGGTGCAAAGCAGTCATGCTAACAGGAGACCAGGAGAAATGGGATTACTCAGCCCCTACCACCAGTGACCAGAAGCAATGGGAGCAGCTGGTTTACAAATATCTTGCCCTCAAGCCACTGGAACGCTTTGTAAGTCGCCATTTCGCTCTCGTCACAAGGAAATGCTGACTTGGTTTGGCTACAGCCTTATCATGACTCTCCGCTTCAGGGCAGTGACAGAGGCGACCTGCCGTCATCAGAACAGATAAGGCGCGTTCTTGCGCCGCGCCAGACATTGCAGGAGCGTAAAATCAGCGCTCGTAGGCCGGGCTGGCCCCCGCCAGTCTGGATGCGAACATGCTACGCCCCAGAGCTAGACGCAGCACATAGAGCGAGCTAATTAGCTATGTGGATATCGAATCAGACACCGAGGTAGACGCGCAAGGCGTGCTCGACGACGCTAATTTGTACGACTTTGGCCCCGACTGGTCTCGCATTCTCGTCCGGATCCCAGAACTTTGCGATGTGCTCCGTGGCAGCGTTGAGGATGATTATGTGCGTTGCATCAGACAGGAAGGCGAAGCTGAGGACGAGATGGATCTGATAGATATCCGTGTTGTGACACGACTTTACATCGCGGACGATCAAGCTTTACGTGAAGGAAGGGTCAAGATCTTCTGGCTAGATTCGCACGGCAACTGCGTCTGGCACAACAAGATCAAACCTAGCAGCCTGATGGAATTTACAGGGGCCATGTTTGATGCGCCGACACTTTGTGATGCGCTATCCTGGGTTGAGGGTGATCCTGAGGGGTCCAAATTTGAAAAGGGGGCAGAGCTTCTCTTCCCGTGATTCTGGTTATAAGTACACGCAACCAGGTCCCTGTATTTAAGCCACACTGGTGTCTATTAATGTATCCTCCTCTAACCGCTTGACTGCCAACCCGTGATCGCACTGGGGAGACAGTTCTCGGGGAATACAGTGCTCGATGGTACTGGCCCATCGGTTCGTAGCTCGCAGTATGGCCCGATGCAGAAGCACATAGAACCACAACTATGTACTTCTGGGTGGGTGGGGGCGGTGTAGCAACGGCACATGCAAAGACAACTATGGACTTCTGAGTGGGCGGGGGCGGCACAGCAGCAGAAAATATAGCTATGACTAGGTTGTCCACTTCAAATTAAAGCGGCAGTTGGTTGGTCTGACTGGGGTGTGTGGTTGCCATTGCCTATCCCAAGCTTGCGTGATGATGTAGGAATGAGTAGATTTAGATGAACGCTAGCAGAGTAGGGACGGGACTGTAGAGCAGGTTTGGGAGACAGAGTTGCATTTCGCTGGACGAATCAAGCAGGAACTTGACTAAGAAGATAACGAGCGGAAGACTCCACCACAAGCCGACCATAGTCCATTTGTCCACAGCCCTTCTACACGCTTCCTCGCACCTCCTCCCCGGTCTCACACCTACACCATCCCCCATACACTACTTCCTTTCCTTCCTTTCTTTCCACCACGTCCCTGCTGACCACTCATCTTGGGCCAGCTGGTCCACAGTAAGGCCCTCGGCCGGAGTTCTATTGGCAATAATATTAGAGAGATAGTTCATCTTGTCGGGGAACACGAACGCCGTACCCCTCTGCGGCCGTGGCTCCCTTGTTTTCGAGCTGACGCGGGGCCACGTCGATCGCAGCTGTAGTACAAATCAGCAGTCTGCGTCTGTGAAATTTCACAGCAGGATTTTCATCGAGGCTCGCTTGGCTCACCTCGGAGGGGGATGGCGATGCCAGTGCCGACCAGCAGAGCGAGGACAAGGCTCGTGAATTTCATAATTGCGGTGCTTGGTTGGGCCAAAGACGATGGGTGATGTTCAAAAACTTGCACGAGTGTACTGGGCTGGCGGAGATAGGCGAGAAAAGGAGTTGAAGATGGGGGAAGTTGGCTATCCTTATATACGTGGCAAAGAGTATCTGCCGAGCGCTCGACCGCAGTGTTCTCGGAAGGAACTCGTTCTACATTGGGGGCCATAATAGGAGGATTCAATAACCAGATTAACCAAGCCTTGGCATCATACCATGGTAAGCTGCATATGAAGAGCGCCCAGCATCCTTCGAACAGGGGCTTAGAGGCCTGGTTGTTCTTAAATACCTAACCAAGCCAGACATGACCGGTTCATTGCGAAGGCTCGCAGCAGCATCTCCCACACTTCCCCCTCCCCCCACCTTCATACCCATAGATCGGTGATTCTGCGTTTGCTCGCCTCCTTTCTCTGATGGCTGCATACACCAAACTTGAGGACGCCCCGCGGGCTTTGGGTGAGGAGAGTGATAGAGATACGCTCTTAGGTTACGAGACTGGGCTCGCCATACCCCGAAAGCCGCGGCCGTGGTGGCGGCGTGTCCAGCTCCCAGTCTTGTACCTCTCCAACCTCTTGCTCCTACTAATAATCTGGACCCTATCTCTTCAAAACCTGCACCTGTCCCGTGAGAGTGGAAGAGATCCATCTTCAACCGTCTACTGTATGAGCCATCCTCCTGTCTCTGAAAGACGACACTGACGTTTACGTTGAACATCAGCACCGGCAAATGAGGCGATTGAATACGAGGAAAAGTTATTCAAGGGAGGCTTCTTCACCAAAGCGAACGAGTACATGGGCTTCCCGACCAAAGAGACAGATGAGGCGTGGAGCGATCTGTTCAATTGTAAGTTTAGCAAACTTCTGTGCTGGAAGTCTAATAAATGCTAATCACGGCATGGCTTCCAGTCGGCGTCAGCGTTATCACACCCGAGGAGGCAGCCAAACTGCCGATGCCGACACTGCCGATCCCTGACACGGACAAGTACCTCGTCGAGTTGGAGGTCTTCCACGTCCTGCACTGTCTCGACGATATCCGCAAAGTGTTCTACCCGGAGTGGTACGGTCCAGCGATTCTAAACTTGACACAGCCCGACGGCTCACTGGACCGGGACAACAACTTTTTCCGTCACTTTGGTAAGCTACGGCCCCCTGCCATTGACTTAACCCTAGCTACGTCTCTAACCTGGCCTCACCAACTCCACTCAGACCACTGCATCGACGCGATCCGCCAGTCGGTTATGTGCCACGCCGACGTGTCGCCCATCTCGTTCCACGTCGTGCTGCCACCGGACGACGTTGACGATGTCGGCACGGGCATCTTCCCACGCCTGGGCACTAAGCACACGTGTCGGAATTTCGAGAAGATCCAAGACTGGGCGCGTGCGCGTACCGTCGGCCGATGGAGCCCAATCCTAACTGCAGAAGAGGCGCGGCGGGTGGCAGAAGAGGCGGGTTACGACCAGGCATCTCTTGAGGATGATCCGATCTGGGGCTCGTAGGCAGGTAATTTATGCTGGGGTCAGGCAGGACCGAGGAAGTTGAGGTCTGCGAACTATCAATATCAATTTATATCTATCTAGGCTGTTAATCCCAGTCTATCTAGGTTGTTAATCCGAGAGACATTTCTATCGCTCTCTGTAATTCCTCGTCATATTCTTCTTCCCGATAAACCAGAGTATCACCCATTTCTATCGCTCTCTGTAATTCCTCGTCATATTCTTCTTCCCGATAAACCAGAGCATCACCCTCTTCCATCCCCCACCAGTCTGGCGGTGATGTTTTCGGAGACGACTCCATCAGCGGTTTCTCAGGAGACGCCGGTGCCTTTTCCAGAGACATCTCTATCGCTCTCTGAATATCCTCGTCCAGGTCTTCATCAGAGTTGGCTGAATTGTCTGTTTCTTCTGAAGAATCCGGCTCGCTTTCGCACGGGACTTGCGACGGTCGTTTGCGTCTCCGCCTCCGTTGTTTCTGCTGACAGTAAAGTTCGACGTTAGCATTGGACGTTAGATAGTCAACCCGGATAGGAAGAGGAAGACAAACCCCGGCTTTTACTCTCGCCTCAGCGGCATCAGCTTTTGCCGAGTTCTCAGCGCTATGATCTGCTAACAGTGGAGCTCCGTAGATCAGAAACTTTCGTCCCTTGTGGTGGACGCAGGCGACAACGTTTCTCGCCCTGGCAAGTCTTTGCATGTTTCTCCGTTGAGATTCGCGTACAGGCGGTGGGATGCCGGTCAAATCGTACTCTTTCGCCTCGAGCGTGTCATTGGACGGGGATTCTATTACCACCGCATATATCCTCCCTCTAGTACCTTGTCTCTCTGATATGATCTTCTCCAAAAGGTACTTCCCTTCCAAGAGGTCTCCCGTGCATGCCGTGGAGCGTCGTGTTGCACTCGAAGAATCTTCAGGGGGGCTGGAAGAGACAAGGTTGAAAGAGACATGCTGCTTCTGATTCTTCACACGGATCGTGTCGTCCTCTTGAAAGGAGCTGGAACCACTTGCAGTGGTTGAAGGGTTTGATGATTCTGCCATTTGACGTGACATAGGGTCCTGCAGTGCTGGACCGCGAGGAAAGACGAGTGGGGTTGCCTCATAAACATGGAGAGGAACGAGCATGGCATACCCAGCAGAGTAGATAAGGCTGCGCTCTGCTGGCGGTGCAGCGCCAAGTCTTTAGCTGCATAACTGAGGTCAGTTTTTCTGCTAGGCTTGGTCGCCCATTGGTCTAGACGCGAGTGATGGGCAGGAGGTGCGCGGCTGAAAATAGAATGCCGGGGCACCCATGAGCTGTCACACCTCCTTTTCCCCTGCCTCTCCCCCCACCAGTACTTCGGTTTGCGCAAACAATGTGATAAGATTGGTTGGGGCACATAGGCATGATGAGCCTAGTTTGCCTGGCACACCTGGGTTCGGGAGGTCAATTTCTGAGGTCAATTCAAGCCGTGAGGTCAATTCGGTTGCGGGGTGAATGCCACGTAGCCGGCTGATGGTATGCTCTAACCCTGACAGTGTGTACATACATGTACCCTCAATGCTTGTCTTTTAAAATGTTCTATGCCCCTTTGCCTTTTGGCGCCATTCTTCGCCCCTCAACTGTTCTCTCTTGGGGAGGGGTTGCTCCCTAGGAGCCTCCACTCCAACACCGGCACCCAGCAGCCTACTCATCAACTCATCAACACCCGCCGTTATTTCATCTTCGCCACGCGAGTCAACACGCGGGGATTATAGCCCCGCAGTGTCTCTATACAGAGGCACCTCGATGATCATCAACTAACGCAGAGTGGGCTTCGGCCAAACCAAGAGGACGAAGACTCATGGTACCGGACCTTTGACGCTTCTATACCAGCTCAACACGACGGATGGTCAGAGGCGGTGAATAATTACGAGTTTTTGCAACTCACAGGAAGTGGCGACCCCCTTGCATTCCATCCTCAATCGGCCGGTTTTGCGAGCTCTGTTCCTTATCCGAGTAGCAACGGTTCACGGTGGCACGCTCCTACAGCGGCCCCTGACACTGTACTCTCGGATGCAGAGAACGAACTCTTCTCCTGGATCTCTTGGGATGCATGCCAGTTCGAAATTCCACCCGCACCGGACAAATCTCTTCCCCCATCACCTCGACTCGATCCTTCACCATCCAGCACCTATATCGATGGCTCAAAGCTGCCGACCGCTCACAACACGACTAGTCTTGACAACTTTTCGCAATCGGCCTTTGGCGCTCGACCTTGGCTGCTGCCAGGTGACAGTGATCAGTCGTCTTGGTCTCAGGGGTTTGATCTGGATCCTCTACCACTGGCACCCCTTGATATACCATCCACTCCTGCCAAACTGGCCCCTACCCAACCGTCTGTTGAGCTACGACCACCCATTCTCCTATCTTTGTCTCCCGAGCCTGTCATCTCGAGTGCGAGTATCTCCGACGGCTCGTACTCACCACCTATCTCCTACAGCACCTCGTCTCCCACCTCTCGACAACAACAACAACAACAACAACAACCCTCGCCCGCAGTCCGAGTGTCATTACCCACCCTGGCTCCGGCCAACACTCCCGGTAGGCCTGAACCCCATCAACATTTCCAATGCCAGATGGGGCGCTGCACAGACACCTACGACAGCGAAAAAGGCCTATGGTAAGTCATCCCCCCGTTTGCCCACCCCACCGGAGCCTGACTGATGTCTTTTCTCTCTCTGAGCGACCACAAGCGCACAATGCACAGGTTCCGCTGCGACCTTGGCTGCGAGTCCGTCGGCTTCAGCTCCTCGCGGGGTCGGAAGCGGCACTACGCATCCGCGCACGGCATCGGACCGCAATCCTATCAGTGCGGCTGCGGGGCCGCCAACCACCGGCGCGACAATCACCTGCGGCACCTACGCAGGTGCGTCCCGTCGAGCCGGGGCATATACGTTTGCTCCTACTGCATGCAGGGACACTATACCTTTGAGAAGAGAGAACATCTCCAGCATGTGGAGGGGTGTAAAGGGAGGGCAGGGAGACCGAGGGGCGACAGAGGATAATCAGACTAGGCACGGGACGCGACTAGGTTATGACTGGTCTGTTGGTTAAGGAGCGGTATCGTGAAGCTGCCATGTTGTCTTCGTCTTTTTTTCTTTCTTTTGGATTGTGCCGAGGTGCCCTTGGTTTATGATGATCTGGAGGGGAGGGAGACGAGGAGAAGGAGGAAGAGAGAGAGGAGGAGGAAGTGCAGGGGGAGGAAGACTCCCCTGGAGAGCTGGAGGTTTAATTCCGTTTGGCAACTTCGGCCTTCTGTCGTTTTTGACTCGTGTCCCGTCGGAGGCAATAACTGCCGCGTGGAGGACGCCAGGGCCAAATCCACTCGTTCAGTAATTAGTTAGTCGGTTCTTAGTCCTCTGTGAGCGACTAAAAAGTTCACGTCTTTGATTTGTTTTGGTTTCATACCAGAGCCCATTTTCAATCAAGGGTCACTGTCAGTTCAACCTTTAGTTCACGCTATCGAGCGATATAGCCTCGTAAGTCCCCTAAACTGGAAATATTTCTATGCCCATTGCTAACGCAGCCGTATGCAGCATACTGTAGAACTGATGCTGGACAAGAGTGGCCTAGCCCTTGATCTAGAAGTGAGGATGGAGTGGTTACACTCCGCTGCTCGCAGCCTGCAGGGAACATGCAAAGAATGTAATCCCGTGGCTGAAGAGAGCATATCCTTACTTTTGCAGAAAGGGGCAGACCTGCACGCACGTACGAATACTGGCTCAACCTGTTTGCATGTCTATTTCGACAATATTGACGCAGCCTGCCTAAGTTCCGTTAGACGACAAGTATTGGCGACACTTATCCAGGATGGCCACGATATCAACGCCGTTGATGGCAACGGTCACACTATCGAAGATACGCAATACCGCTGTGAGGCTAAATGCCAGGGCCGCCCAATTCATAACGTGATATCACGGCTTCAACTTCTTGCATATAAGAGAGACCTCTGGGATGCTGTCCTTGTCCAGTGTGATCGGCCCGTGGTTGAGCGAGGCTTATTCTTCGGGGGACAACAATGGAGAACAATGGGGGCCAGGGATATCGCCGGGGAGAAAGAATTTGAGGATATTTGGAGTGGCCTAGAACACCTCTGCCCGTATTATTAGTTAGCATGTATCGAAGGATGAAAGAGCCTCGGTATATAGGAAGACAAACAAGGTTCAGTACTTATAGAGTCTCTCTCACACTTTTGTTTCCCGTCTTACTGTGCAAGACCGCGCATAGTTTTACACAAGTAATTACACAGTGATAAACATAGCTCTAGTAGAAACATTCAGCGTTCCCTAGCTCCTGTCCGTTGATTGGTTAGACAATTGTCCTCAGTAGCTGCAGTGAAGTTCTTTACTTCAGGTTACAGACATAATAAGCCTGCCCATTGGCCCGTGGATTTGCTTCCCCCAAGAGGCAAAGGACGCCTTGTCTCGAGGAGCACGATAGGGCTACGTGATCCTGTGTAACCCACCATCTCGATATGCCCAAATCTCGGCGACGGAATAAACTCGCGTCGCACACGGAACACGGGAGTTCATGAGTTTAGAAATTTGACCTCATCCCCATGCCTCTGCTGGATTGCAGATACCTGCATGGGGTGAGGTCAACACACAACAACTCTAGTGGTTAGTGGGGTGGAAAGGGGATGGGAGGGGAAGGCGAAGGAGAACCAATGGCATCCCTTGCCCTTCATCAGAGGTCAAATAAGGATGATGTTGTGTCCAGCAGGCGATGCTTGGGGGGGGCAGAGGTAACTTACTTGAACTGGCGGGTTCAAGACTATAAAAGCTGTGGATTGTTCTGAGTAACTACGCATCTTCAGTCTTTGTAAAATCGATCTCACCCCTCGATAAACCGTTCGCTTTCTCGACTTCTCGAGCCACTTCACTGCTTCTAAACCGACAACAGTGCTGCTCTTATTCTTTACAGCGGCATGCCTAATAAAAAATCAAGTCGCCCCTCGACGTCGAGGAAGGGAAAATCGCCAACATATAACGAGCAGAGTGGTGGGAACACCGGGTTGGGTTAGCTGCTCTCCTGCCTTCCATACTCAAGCCGAGATTACAGAGCTGGACTGACACATACAACAGGCCATCCGGCCTTGGAGACACCGCAAATGGTCATCCCGAAGACCATGCACCCTATTGAACGTTGGCTGGCAGAGACCGAGCACGAACAGCCTTGGCATGGAATATCAGGTGTCTCTTCAGGGCAAGATGGGAACGCAGAGCACGCGGCTGAACCCAATAGCGGCTCGCATTGGAGCCTTCAAGTACACTATGGATCGGCAGGATGCGTCTGATGCGGGGTTTTGTAGCGGGTAGATCGTCGGGGAAGGTTGTCATTGTCGATAACTTGCGGGGTTAGAAGCCGGTGTGACGCATGGCAAGACAGCTGCGCTATATTAGACCAGCAACTCTTCAAATCATTATCGGAATATAATATTCTCCAGTCGGGATGCTAAGGATATTCAGACCTTGAACGACCGGATTCTTGCTAAACTCTTCAATACAGAACAACGCGCGGATATGTGAAACCCTGTGATGACTGTCGTGCCCGTCCAGTGCATCAATGAAGAGACAGATATCTCCGACCAGATATTCAGTACAGCCACCTGCACGGGGTGGTCATCCAGGCTAGCCCTTCTTCTCATCACTGATTACTAGCGGCACCATCCCAATGCGGGATTAAATCGTTATCTGCCTCTCCTTCCTCTTCAGAGTCCCAGCATCTCAGCACTCTTCTCGCTGCCTCCTTTCCGACAACTGGCAACCTCTCAACACCGGTTTTCCCCGAAACCACGGGCCCCAACTTGGGCTCTAGCAATCCAATCTGAAGTAAAACACTTGCTTGATCCCAGTACACATGTTCATGGCAGATCTTCCCTCCCCTGATCGTAACGATGCTGACTACCAGCACCTCGACCTTCTTGTTTGTGGGCGGGACTCCGGGGAGAATCCATGGCATTTCATGTGTATGCTTAAACCGGACGTGCATCTCGTCGACGACGCGATCAGTCCCAATGGTTCGAGACAACAAGGTTATTCTCATCGACGGTGGGTTGTCGAAAAACTGCGAGTAGAACCTTTGAAGCTCGGCGGCCCCGATGCCCCCTGTTAGAGTCGGGATGTGGGTGACATGGGGACTTTGGTGTGTTGTGAAAGTTGCCATGGTTTCCTTGACGTTGCGATTAAAGAATTTTGCTGATTATCGAGTAATTAAGTCAGCCATGCTTGAACTTTCACTTCCACTAACAGCGCCGGATAGACGACGAAATGGGAGAGTCGTCGGAAAGCTCACCTTCTACATTCTCCTCCACAGCAAGCCCCAAGTCAGCATCTTTCCCAAACGCCTTCCTTGCCATTTCCAAACTCCGAGTCCACGCCATCTCGGCGCAGACCCTGTCGTATTCGTCCAAGTCGTGTTCCGCAAATCCCACATCGGCATCGTACGTATAACTCGGGTACGCAAGGCGCAGCGTACCCCCGGTGCCGATGCCACTGCCGAAGTTCTTGCGTCTCACGCGCCGCTTGCCCTGAATGCCGACCATCTGGGACTGTGTGATGACGCCGACCTCCTCGTCGGCGGCGAGATGTACGAGGACCTTGATGCTGCTGGGGAAGTGGCCTTGCGGGTCTGGGATCGCCGTCGGGTAGTAGGCGATGAGCAGGCCAAGCTTAAACTCTGGGTTATTGTCCAAGATGTGGTAGTGCTCGAGGCAGAGGCCCGCTGCGTCGCCGTATGCTGCCGAGTGTCAACAGCGGGTCTCATCCACGCTGGAGGGGGCCATGGCCTACCGATGATCCCAAAAGTTTCACAAGGCGCCATCTTCTTCCTGCTCAAGTCTCGAATCTTGCGCCGATACTCATCCCTGTCGTCTCCCATTGGGATATATTCGACATCGAAGCCCTCCTCTCGCCATTCGGCGATGGTCAACGCATCGAATTCATCATCCTCCGCGGTCAGGTACAACTTGGGTGCCGACCGCGGAAAGTCTTTTGAAAGAAAGTTGGGATCTCGGTAATTGGTGCTGTGGTTCGAGATGATCTGGACATTCTTCCCTTCCGACTCGGGGACGGCGCTCTTGACTAGATTTGGGATATCGATATTCATTTCTAATAGATTATGATTGTTGAACAAATCCGACGAGACAAATCCGCCGAATAATTCGATTAAGAAGTCTTGAGGGAAAAGACGTCACGTCATGGGATGTTTTTATATCTAACGGGACACAGGGTTGGGGGTTTGCATGACATCAGTTTTTGGTGACCAGGACATGGAAATCAGACAAGATCCATCCAACCACAGGATTGGTGTGCCAGACGTCGGAGCTACACCCAGCCAATTGTGAGTGTGGTTCTAGATGATGCCGGCTTACTTCATGAAGTTACGGGAGGCGGGAGGGGATGTCTGGCTACGTCATTGAGTCACCTGACCCGAGAGACCTGATTCTCACAATCTGCCTGGGTGGTTGATGCTGAGCAGAAAAGCGGGTCCATCACAAGGGAGGAAACCATCTCGAAGACAACGGGTTTCTCGTCTGTATTAATTCGATGATCAGAATTCGTTCCAAGTTCACTTGAATTTCGAATCCCTTTCTCCTCTTCTTCATCATAATCTGCAAGAGACTCTGCGCAATAGCCGGACTAGATGCTCCTTCCTCCTGCCAGTCTTGTGCTTCCTTGGATTCGACCAGCATTCCCGAAGCGTATACAATGTCAGGAGTAGGACAAAAAAAAAAAGCCGAGATCATTCTCACAGGTAAGATGCACCTGTTGGCCAACTTTATATGTACACTACAAGACAAGCATGAAGTCTTATGCTCTTCGATACGCAAATACGAATCTCAGCTTTTGTCACGACGCCTAAACAGTCTTGACAAAACCCCTCGTTTTTCCTTTGCACCGCTTGTGCCTGCGCCACCCTGCTCATTCAACCCAGAACCGCTTGGGCTTGCGCCTATCTGCTCATTCAACATAGAACCCCTTGGGCCTGCGCCACCCTGCTCGTCCAACCCAGAACGGTTTGGGCCTATGCCACCCTCGTTCATCGCAAGACCCATGTAGAGACGAGGCTGGGGAAGCCAGCTCACTGATCCATCTTGTGATCCACTAGGATACAAGGTCAACAACTGTCTCGTGATAGCGTTTGTGGTTAAAGTATCTCCCAGTGCTTCTGATATTGGGTCCATGCCCGAAGTGGATGGAAGCTGATTTGGCGAGACCTGTAGCGGCTGGTTGTACATATACTCAATACAATCTTCCTTAGTGAAACCTTTGGGATGAACGCCCGAGTCCCAAGTATTTTGGGTCAGGGAAGACGCCTCACCCTCATCGCCACTGCTAATAAGACTGACGACAGATCTTGGAGCAGATGCATTCGAAGGCAAGGACTCCAGGCCGTCCTCGTCCCGGTCCGATTCGGTGCCCGTGTTGTTTTGGTTTGACTGGTCTTCGGAGCCGTCGTCAAAGTAGTCGTTGCTTTTGAAGTAGTCCGTGCTCTCGTGATCCTCATCTTGGGATTCATCTCTTGGCCAGGGGAGGGACAAGAGAGCGAAGGAGTGTAAGTGTTCGGCGATGTGGTCGAGTAAAGGATCAGAATCCGCTGGGGCGGTCTCGTCGCAGAGGGGACATCGACTGATCCCTGATGGGGCGGGTCTTGCGGCATCGAGGAGGAGGGTCGAGTATTGGGCTTCGCCGATGGTGCCTCCATGGACGTGCCGTAGGTGATCAAGAAACCCTTCTACGGAAGGGAAAATAGGCGGTAACTTGCCTGGGGTTGCACAAGGCAGGCACTCCCAGCATTGTTGATGGTCCTTTCGGACGTGCTTCATCCACTCGCTTCGAGTGACATACAGTGCATCTGGGTTTGAGCAATCCTCGATGATGCAAGTGTATGGGCAGACATCCTGCATCAGATGCTTCCTGCGTGGTTGCTGGTATCAACTACATGCGCAACACCAAAGATAGGAAAGACAGGAAATAAACGGGTTGACTTACTTCCACAGTGTATCCTGCCGGAGCATTTCCGGAAGTGTCTGACAGCAACATGGGCACTGAAAATACCGAAGTCCTTCTCTAAGGCGCGGAGGGCGGGGATAGGTGATCTTCGCAGCCGTCGAGGTAATGTTCGTCTTTGCAATCTGGGACGGCGTCGTCGTTTGCCGGGGTACCGGATCGATATGCGTTCCAATAGCCGACGCGGACGTGGCTGTCATCACCGCGGCGACGGGGTGTCGAGGGGTTCCGCCTTCCGTCCAGGCCTGCTCCGCCAACGCGACATTCTTCTGTCCCCGAGGCCGCCCAGTTTCGTCACCACCATGGGGAATGGCAGGATCGTCTAGGATGGGCAGTACGAACTTGGATTGCGTGCTCGGGGCATCAAAGGCCAGCTTCTGTGCGTGTCTCTGCGCATAGACAAATCTGTTCCGCCGGCGCAGATTAGCGAGAACAAGTCTCTCCTGGACGGTGTTCAGCGAGCCTGGATCGATGCTGTAGTGTTGTTTCCTGCCCTCCTCGCTTCCTCGCGCAATAATGAGGAGGGTAAGATGGTCCCGCAGTTCTTGGTGTTCTATGGGCTTGAAAAGACGGTCTGCTTTTTGGGCCCTAGAGTTGGCGCCAGACTTCCGAATAGCAACTGCCAGTCGAGAGAGATGGTCGATGATCTGTTCCACTTCAACCTTGGCTGAAAACGTGGCAGACGTGCTGGTGCTGGCCGACGGGAGTGTGGACTCTTCTTCGAACTCCGAGTCCGAAGACGACATATCTGACCACGGAGAAAATGACCTTGGTATTGGTTCCGGGACATCCAATGTTTCCTTCGAAGACCGAACCGGTTCTGGGGCTTCAGCTTCCGACTCGGCTGTCCTGGTCTCCTCTTCCGCTTGGTCCGCTGCTGTGGCTAAATAATACTAATCAGTCTCTGTTTCGGCGCCTCAAACTAAATAAAACCGAGATCTCACCTGGCGCCTGGCATTTTTCGATGCAGCCCAAGAGCAAGATCAGAATGCTGATGAGGAAATTCTTGGTTTCCCATTCAACGGCGAGTCTGGAGTCAAGGGAAGCTCTTTCGCCAGCGAAGGCGCCTGTGCCGGCTGCCCAGAGGTTGAACTCGGCCAGTCTATTTTCGGCCCATTCGTATTCCATCAGGGGCGGGATATGAAGGCATTTCCGGAGGGCGTCTTGACATTGCCTTGCCACCTCACCAATGGAGCTCCCTACTTCTTCAGTGGGGTCGTCATCCATGCTTGGAACTTGCCAAGCCCTAGTAGCGAGACATTCATGCGTTCGAGCGACACTTCTGATGCGTTTTGATGCAGGCGATTTGCTAGTGGAAGGGAGTTGCCGTCTGTGAGAATGGAAGTCGCTGGGGAGCCTAGAGCAAATCGCGTGCCCAAGATTGCAGGGGTATCGTGGTCAGATAAGTGCCAAGCCCCAGTTTCAGCTCCTCCCCCTCCCCCTCCCCGCAGCCGGATTGCCCCTCGAGGGGACGCTTCAATTCCTCTCCAACTAGTCTTGGTATTGTACCTATTGTATTGTATTGTATTGTATTGTATTGTATATACAAGCAAATACCTTACTCCGACTTGCATACATGCCTTCGCCATGAAAGAGCCGCGCTTTGGCGCTCCAGATGAGGAGTTCGACGAGCTCGACTTCGCCAAAGATGCCCTGTCGCGCATTTCTATCGTCGCTGCGGACCTCGCCGCCCGACAGAAATCTTGCGTCGCTGGCTGTCTGGCGGCCAAGCTGTGGATCGCCAGGAAGTCGGTCGACTCTGCGGATGCCAGCCAGCTTCCACGACTTCAGAGGCGCCTGCCCAAGCTGATTGACGACCTCGAGCGAGTTTGTGCTGTATGGCTCCACTTCCTTCTTTTCCTTCCTTCCCTTATCTCCGCATTTTTGTTAGATGATTGATTGATTGATTGACTGGCTGACTGCCTTCTTTGACAGTGGCCCCATGCTCCAAATGCGCAACATCCCATACTCCGGTCCGTCATCAACCCGGGAACCTACCGATCACTGCAAGAAGCCGAGACACGAGCGTGCAAGGGTATCTCGGCGTTTGCGAATGGCCCGCCGGCAGTGAGGGATGGATACTTTAAGAAACTAGACCAGTTCTCCAGAGCCGTCATGGTTGTCAGATACGAGGAGAGCAAGGAACCAGCGACAAAGATGCAGATCCACGACACCGACGAATACCCGCCCCATGTCAACTCAAGCCTGTACTCGGTGCTGAGGGCTCACTCTCTGTGCACATGTACATCCGATTGTGGCTCAACAGGAACAGGCTCGGTTAAGAGGCACCCGGCCAGGCTCCGGCTGCGGGACGACATTGTCAAGGTGGACGGCTGCGTTGCGTTTGACCTGCTGCTGTCCGCGTCGCCGACTGCGTATGACTACTGGCAAGATCTGCAGGTGCGAGTGACCCTGTAAGAACATTCCTGTTCCACAAGTCCATCAACATGGCGCATAGCGAAACCGTTTACATGCTAAACATTTGTCCTCCAGGAAAGATAAGGGCAAGAAGTCGGTCAAATACATGGACGGGGCCACCAAGGCTCCAGCTCCGGGACGCGTGGAACGATCCAAGGTCATCTCTCCCGGTTCCTTGTGTAGTTTGGTAACAGCCAAGCTCGGGTCCCGAATTTGCTGCCGTGTGCAGGACCCGGAGCTCCACCAGCTCTATGACGGCTCGCCTATCGTCCAACAGGTGGACCCCGGGCCGAGCATTTCGCTTCGGGGAATCCTGCAGACCCACCGGCTCTCCAACAGGATGAAGCTTGTTCTGGCTTATATCATCTCTCGATCCTTCTGGCAGTACTACGACTCGCCATGGATGGGAACGAAGTGGACAAGTGATTCCATCCATTTTCTTCGGGAGCCAGTAGTCGATGATGACGCACCTGACGTGGAGAGGGGGGCTCTCTATGCATCGAGTCCGTACTTCGTCGTCGAGTTCAGCGGAGAAGAAGCCGATGAGTTCGTCGAGTACTGCGATTCGTTTTCTGTCATCTACCGGTACCCCAGACTGCTTGCGCTGTGTATCCTGCTGCTTGAGATTGGCCGGGGAGAGAGTCTGTCGTTGGAGGATCATGGGTCCATGGAGGCGAATCTGAACTCAACCTGGACTCTAGCCAAGCGGCTTGCAGACAAACACAAAGCGTGGGGAGACTTCGACTACCCCGACTACCGAAAGGCGGTGCTCAACTGCCTGAGCCGTAAGCTGTTTGAGGAAAGCTCCACGACGGACCAGACTCGGCCGGAGATGGATATCTTCACAAGGAAAGCGGTGGTCTACAAGACTGTTGTTCAGCCTCTCGAGAACTTGCTCAAACTGCTCGGATTCTCCGACAAGCTGAAGACGCTGGATCCCATCGATTCGAGAGGTCCGGGCCCCCTTCTTGCTAAGCCACCACCACCGGCTTTGCCAACCTCGTCCCAGGGCCGCGACTCCTCTCTGTCATCGCAGTGGCTGGATAAACTCGCCAATATCAACAGCTATATATGCAACTTGTCTCGGCCGTCTTCCACGCGTCGCCCGGTGAGGATCGCCATTCTGGATACTGGATATGATGACCAGGCTATCTTCTTCCAGAACCTTTCAAGGACACGTCGAATCAAGCAATGGAGGGACTGGGCTGAGAACTCGGAGACTCCCGTCGACGAGAATGGACACGGGACACACACTGTGGCACTCGTCATGAAGGTTGCGCCGACTGCAGACATCTACGTTGCTAGGATCGCAAAGGATAGAACCAGCTTGAGGGGCGCTACCGGTTCCATTGCTGAGGTATTGTCCACCATGTTCCTCCTCTTGTGTACATGCCCAATCCCATCATTCCCAAGACACCCTAATGCTGACATCCTTTCACCCAAGGCAATCCACTGGGCCGCCACCGACTGCGAAGCCGACATCATCTCCATGTCCTTCGGCTTCCAAGAGGAGATCCCCGTCATCAGCCGAGCCATCGACGCAGCCGAGCTGCACCGCGACGGCAAGATCCTCTTCTTCGCGGCGGCGTCCAACTCGGGCGCCAACCGCAAGGAGGCGTTCCCGGCCACCCACGACTCCGTCATCTCCATCCGCGAGACGAACAGCAACGGCGCCTTCTCCGACTCGAACCCGCCCGTGGATCCCAACGGGCCCATAGTCCTGGGCACCCTGGGCAAGGACGTTCCCTCGGCGTGGCTGAGCAATGTCGACGGGGAGGTGGCCAGGCTCGGCTCGTCCGTGGCTACGGCGGTTGCGGCGGGCGTTGCTGCCATGGTGTTGATGCTGGCGACTGCGGGATTGGCCGACCCCAAGGCCAACCTTCCGCCGGAGCTGGCGAAGCTGTGGACCCGGAGAGGGATGCTGGCTATGCTGACGAGGATGTCGCAGAATATGGGGAACAGATCGTATTTTATATCGCCGGTGGGCTTCTTTTCGGGCAAGGATTCGGCGAGGATTTGGAATGCAATGGCGGACGTTTGTGTCGGTTGAAATTTGTGATACCTATTTACATTTACTTGGTTTTTCTAAAGCACAAATACGTATTCTGATATGTTTGCCGTCTTTAAGTATGTATGGATTGCCTTCAGCGCTTCAATACATTATAAAGCAACGCATTTGATCGCATCTCTCTCTGCCAAAGACTATAAGTAGGTTGTGTCGATAACCGAATATCGAAACCAAACAAAAATCATGGCCAATCTGCTACTGTTTACGACGACCAATGACAGTGAGGACATTGATGTGGAACATTCATGCCCGGGGGGCGGGGGGGGGGGGTTGTTCAGAATAGGGACCCTCTCTCATGCATGCCCGGATTTCAGCCGCCCATCTGCAGGTCCAACGTCCAAGGAACAACAATACCCTCAAACATCGAGCATCGAGCCAACCAGCCCAACATGGCAACCGTGCGAACATACATCCTCGCCCCCAATTTCCAGTACAAGCCCTCGGGCCCCATCCAAATCGGCAACATCATCGCCGACCCCTTCCGGCCCACCAAGCCGCTCTCCACCCTCCCAGCAGACGGGCCCCGACCCCCCACCTCGACCATCACCGAGCGCGACCACGAGCTCAGCCGGAGCAAGGGCCATGCCTTCAGCGCCGGCATCTGGGCGCACTTCCTTTCGTCCGTCGGCGGCGGCGTCAGCGCCGACCACGGCCGGGATTCGGTGCGGGAATTCTCCATCGACGAGCTCGTCACCCGGTACCTGCGCGACGAGCCGGCCGACGACGACGCCGAGCTGATGCGGCGCCTGGCGGAGCCGCGCGTGCGGGCCGCCGTCAAGGCCGGGCTGTTCGGTCGGCAGCCCGTGTATCTGATCTCGGGGGTCAAGATTGCGCGCGGGCTCAGCGTGCGCAGCGAGCTTCGCCGGACGGTCGGCGGCGGCGTCGGGGTGACTGTGCCTGTGACGGCGGGTGTGTCTGTTGGCGGGGAGGTGAAGGGGGAGCGGCGGGATGGGATCGCCAGCTCGTTCAGGGCGGTGGAGGATGTCGTGTTTGCGTATCAGGTGCACGTTGTGCGGGTGAAGGGGAGGAGGATGGATGCCGCCGTGGTAGACGTGTTCGAGTCTGACGCGGCGTTCTTGCATGGCGAGGAAGAGGGCGGCGAGGGGCACGAGGGGGTGGCTGTGTCGGTTGGGTTGGCGGGGGTGGAGGATCTCAGGGAGGGAGAGGATGAGGATTCGAATGTGGTGATCGATAGTTGTGAGTTTGTTGATGCTGATGGCGTTTCTTGTCTATGTATCACCGCCAAAGGGGGCTAGTGTGGAGTATATGTTCCAATTATGGAGAGGGAGCAATGAAACAGGCCGCCGCTTTCAGTTTTGATGACATATACATTACAATACCTCTGTTTACTATAAGAAATTGTGGACAATCTGAGGACCCTGGTCAAGGAAATAGCGTAGAAAAGCAGCGAGTCCGCAAAGTACATGTGAGCTGAGCTTTCAGAGGTACGGCTTCACCTGCTCCTCAGTCCAACTCCACCATTTCTCAGCCGTGCCAGTACCCCCCTCGCTCTCCGGCTTCGAAGCATCAAGCAGGTCCTGTCGTATCGGCGCAAATCGGCCGAAAGGGGCGACTGTGATTCAGGTAGTCAGCTTCACGGTGTGGTGCCCCTCGCTCGGCTTAACGGGGTGAAAGAAACCCAGAACTCACTCCAATCTCCAGACTTCTCCACCGTGACCAGCGGCGACAGTCCAGCAAAGAGCTCAGTGTACGCCCCCATGATAGGAGGGTACTGCACAACCGTCTGCAGGAACCACTTCTCAAACGCCGTCCGGTGACGCGCGAGCTCGGTATTCAGGTTGCCCGGGTTGAGGGAGACGCTGACGATGCCGTCGTCACGGTGGCGGCGCGCAAACTCGGTAGCGTGCAGGTAGTTGCCGGCCTTGCTCGTGCCGTACTTTGTCGCCGCGGAGAGATCCTGCTTCTCGTAGGTGAGGTTCTCCAGGTCGACGCCACCGGGCGTGTGGGAAAAGTGCTCGGCCGCCGAGGACGACACCCACACCACGCGCACAGTGCCGGGCGGCTCGTCGCGGGCGGTGGAGGCCAGGGCTGGCGTGAGCAGCTTCGTAAAGAGGAAGGTGCCCAGGTTGTTGACGCCCAGCTGCAGCTCGTAGCCCTGAGCGGACTTGGATCCCTGCGGCGGGGTCATGACGCCCGCATTGTTAAAGAGGACATGCACCTTGGTTTCCTGGGAGAGGAAGTCGGTGGCGGATTTCTTAATGGTCGTCAGGTCGGCGAGATCGAGGCGGAGAAGTGCGAGGGCACCTTTCGAGTCCGGGCTGGAGGACTTGATGGCCTCGATGGCGGCCTTGGCCTTCTCCTCGGATCGTGCTGCGACATAGACCTTGGCATGCTTTGCGTAGAGTATCTGAGCAAGCTCCTTGCCCACGCCGGTATTTGCGCCGGTCACAATGTAGACCTGCAGGCGGATTAACAAAGTGGGCAAATCATTGGACCTGGACCGAGCGATCCGGCGGTGGATTAATTAGTCACCTTGCCGCGTAGATCAGGCAAATCCTTCTCGGTAAACTGTGGCTTGGGCGGCCAGACCTGACTTAACGCATTCGAGAGTCCTGCCATGATGAGTTTGCGATACGTTACTGTTACCTTGGTCCAAAGATTGAACCGATTGGGAGAATTGATGGTCGGCCCAAGATTAGAATTAGATCTAGCGTCGTGTGTTTACATAGTAGCATTTTCTCGTCGCGGCGGAACTGGGGGAAATGTGGAGCCCCGTGGGTCTAGCTTGGGAGAATGGAAATGATGTAATGGTTACGCTTGGCATTGGAATTGAAAAGAGTATAGACTCCGAGTCTGGGAGATGGATACATAGTTGCACATTACCTTGGCAAACGAAAGACAATTTGGATTAGGGAACCCTTACATTTACAGTCAAAAAGAACTAACCTGGACCAAAATAGCGTGCTGCCAGTTCTTCCATTTGGCCTCAAAGTCGGCTAACAGACGGGGAAACGCCTCTTGCAGATTCAAGTAGAGTTTCTGGGCAGACTAGAGGACGTTTTTGCTGCCCTCGGTGATTCTGTTCTGGGCACCCATCTTGCGGTGTCAGGGTTTTCCGGATGCGAAGGGAGGCTGGATGTGTGTGTGTGTGTGTTACTGTTACACACGGCGGGGAAGGGTGAAGGATGGGGGCTCGCGAGGACGCGGGCCCCGCCCATGTTTCCCGGTTCCTTCTGGGAGGGCAATATTTGAAAGCATTGCATTACAAGTCCAGTTCAAAGAGGCAAAAATCACTACAGACGAAAGTTCCCAAACCCCCAACTCCTAAACATGTCCTTCCTTCCAGGCCGTGATGCCGCTCTCGCCGGGCTGACCGCGGCGAAAAACGTCGCGTCCAAGGCGAACATTCCAGCTGCCTTGGCCGCCGCGACCGAGAGATCCAAAGAGATCGCTTCGGAAAGCGTGCCACATGCGGCCGCGCAGGCCTTTCAAGCCTGCAAGGCCAACCCCGGTACGGCGGTAGCTTACGGCGCCGCCGGCGTGGGCCTACTCCTCGTCGCCGCACCAGCTATCGTTGCCGCGCCGGCTTTGGGGGTCATGGGATTCGGCGCGAATGGCATTGTTCTCGGTGTGCTTCCTCCGTTCAACTTCCCAACCATTGGTGTCTCGTCTCTGGGATGTTGTATCAAATCCTAACACCATCTTTTCTTGCAGGATCCGCGGCTGCGGGCATCCAAAGCGGTATCGGCAGTGTTGTGGCTCCGAGCCTGTTCGCTACGCTCCAGAGCGCCGGGGTCGGTGGATACGGAGCGGCAACCGTGTATGGGGCTATTCAGGTTGCAGGTAGCGCTATTGCTTCTTCGGTAGGGGTTGTCCTAGCCTGGGCTAATGCTAAGCCTTGAGGTAATTATTCGTTACCTCGATCCTTGTAGTCTTGGCACACCAGGAGGCACAAGGGAGGCACCTCTGGGATAGAAATGACGATCGAGATGACACCCGCGCGGCTCTACCTACATTTGTTGGGGAAGTTGCTACTTCCTCTACTATTTTAAGTTCACAGTCGGTTCATCTGTGGCGGCAACCAACTTCAAGTTGAGCTGGGCTTTTTCTTACAGTTTAAGATCGTCGTAGCCTATTGCGCAAATCACTGCCTCTGCGTTACAAAACTGTGAAGATGTCAATGTACCACAGAGACAAATGGTAGAATGAAACAGACTTTTCTCCTTGTCATCCAAGCACTTGGATACTGCCACTAACACAACCAACCAGAGCCAGACTCGGTGAGCCCCTTATTTCTTGCTCAGGTTCGGGTGGGTTGCGTTGGCCTTGGACCAGTGTTTAATGATAATATCCGCGGCCTAATTACGACTCTCTGTCAGCACAACTAATTGCCAATCTACAAAGAGCCTAGCTTGCTACTCACCTTCTCTCCAACGGCATACGCCGTCGCACTGAGGTGCGAGCTTGGGAGCAATGGCAGGACACTTATATCGACGATCCTCAGCCCGTCAGCCCCGTGGACCTTCAGGTCGGGTCCCACAACGCCACCCTTTTCCCTCGGCATCATAGCAGCGGTGCAGCACGGGTGCATAAACGAAAAGACCATTTTGTCCTTGACGTAGTCGAAAAGGTCCTCATCCGTCTGCACCGATGCGCCAGGCCCGAGCTCGACCGTGCCATACTCCTGCATCGCGTCGGTGCCGAGCGTCCTGCGGAGATACTTGACGTGGGCGAGGTGGACGTCGAAATCGACGGGGTTGGAGGCGGTTCGGTAGTCGAGAATCGGCTGCTGCAAGTGGTCTGTGAGGTCCAGGCGGACAGTGCCGCGACTGAGAGGGTGGAGCTGGATGGCTCGCATCGCGGCCCCCGTGGCCCACCCGCTCTCGAGGCTGGGGGCCTCGGGGTTCGCGAAGAAGTCGGCGAGAACGGAGAGCTGGTGCTCATAGCCTGCGATCATTGTCGGGTCGGACCTGTAGTCGGGAGGGAGGTACGAGGAGGCAGAGCCATCGGCGACCATAGACCGGATACTGTTGACTATTGTCGAATAATTCACGGTAATGTTGGGAAGCGGGACGAAGATGGCGCTGTTAGCCATGGCCAGCGTGTACGGGCCTCGCGCCGGAGTTTCGTCAAATCCCGCGGCTGCGTCGGCGGCGAAGTCGGCATTGAGCATATCCGACGGCAGCGGCGAGAAGTTGCCGGGCTTTGTGTCTGAGGAAATGCTTGCGTCAGCGGGACTGCCCGAAAGAGTAAGGATAATGGACATGGATAACATACAGTTCCATGAAATTTCGGGGCCTGAATGGTCCTGGAAATTGGAGCCGACTCCGGGAAGATCAAGGACAACAGGAATGCCTGCCGTGCCGAGGAATGACGCTGGTCCAATCCCGCTTCTCTGCAGTATCGTCGGCGTATGGACCGCGCCGGCCGAGATGATGACCTCGGCCTTGGCTGTCACGTTGAACAACTCGTCGTCCTCCAAAGACCGGATCTCCACGAGCGGCGGCCCGGATTGGAGACCGTCTGGGTACACGAGTCTGGTGACCTGGTGCTTGACGAGGATCTGGTAGTTGGGTCGGGTTGAATTGACAGCGGCGTAGTGGCCGAGCCCGGAGTGTGACCGCCTCGCCGTCACTGGATGCTCCGAGATTGGGATCCAGCAGAGTCCTGCCTTGTCTCCGCCAGCGCATTCTTTTTGCGTCCGGATACCGATTTCCGTCCAGGCATCCCTGAGAACGGAGTAGTCGGCCCACAGGAACGGCGGAAAGCTGGAGTAGATGGGCGTTGAGCCACCAAATGCGGACACGTCCCAGGTGTAGCCATACTTCTCGACGACGGCGGCGTCTGGCTCAGTGAAGGTGACGCTCTTTGGATCAGTCTGTCAGCCCTCGGTCTGTGCGTGTGTCTCTCTCTCTCTCTCTCTTGCAGCTATTTCATTACTCCCCCCGCCTGGTCTCTTACCTTCTTATAATACGGAAATATCCCATCCCAGTCCCACTTGTCCTCGCTCGAGTTAAACTCCGGCCTGCCAGCCTCGCTCCAAACCTCAAAGTCGAACCGTGATGGCCGGTCAAAGAACATGCCGTTGATGGCACTACTCCCGCCAACGGTCTTGCCGACAAGGACAGAGGCAGTACCGTTCTTCACGTCCGGGTTCGGCAGCGACTGGAAGACGAAGGAGCCGGCTCCCGCGCTGGACCCTCCCCAGATGATCTGAGGGGGGTCGAACACACCGGGAGCATACTCAATCTCGCCATACTCGACGACGAGGACAGTCTCTATAACGGGGAGTTAATTCACTTCCAATTTGACGGGAGCTTTTCGGGGGGGGGGGCGGGGTGGGGATGAGCAGCTTTACTGTTGGGGAATGCTTCAGTGAGACGGTCAGCCACGGTAAGGCCGGCGGTGCCGCCGCCCGCGATGACAAAGTCGTAGCTGTTGCTGAGTTGGGAGGCTTGGCGTTTGACGGAAGCATGCGGTCGAGCGCTCGCCAGAGCGGCGAGCGACATAACGAGGGCATTTAGAAGCGTCATCTTCGTGGGAATGGAAGTGGAAGTGAAAGTTTGTATCCAAGGGTTCTCCGCCAAGTCCCAAAGCCCGTATCTCATTCTCCGCAGCTTATGAGTTCATCCAGGGACTGCGCCCCTTCTTTTAGCCTATTTGGTGTGCTCACACCGCACATCCCGCCCATTCATATTCCGTCATATTATGATCAACGACCACTATATGCATTCACCACTATATGCATTCATAAACAGCTGGAGGAGGTACTGGCGGGCAGGCCCTGGATTAGACAGTTGATAAATTAATGCCCTGACTCGGTGTGGGCTGGGACGCTTGTAAGCTCGTACAGCTGCCCGACGGTAAACAATGGGATCCTACTAGATGGGCGACGCCCTGCCTATCACAGCCATGTAATTACCTCTTGAACGAGGGCAGCTTTGTGGACCCGGAGTTCAAGGAGCCCCTTCATCGGACCCTTCTTACAATCCTTCAGTCCTAAATTCGTGGAGTAATTACCACGCGAAGTGGAAGAGCGGCCTTCTGAACTGACTGCGTCTTTATCGCACCACAAGCGTGTCGCTCTTGTTTGCCTTCCAGGATGCTATCAGCCTCACTAAGATGTCAGAACCCCTCCAAGTTGCGATTTCACATTTTAGTTGGGGTGTCTTTTCGAGGTGCGACAAAACTGCAGCTTCAGCCTCAGATCACCCAAAAAGGGTCATTGGAGGCGAATGAGGAGCAACTTTACGTTGATTTGTCGACAACCTGTTCCAGCTGCATCCACACTCAGCCCCGACCTCCATCAGTCCAGTATGATTCGTCACTTTCATCCCTGTGGCGGAATGAGGACCACGCCACTACACATGGGGGAGGGCGCCTATCGCTTTTTGGTGCTCTCGGCTTCGAATATTGAGGCTTGCCCGAACCAGCACATGAGTTGGGGGGGGGGGGGGGGGGGGGGGGGGGGGGGGGGGGGGGGGGGGGGGGGGGGGGGGGGGGGGGGGGGGGGGGGGGGGGGGGGGGC